CCTTTGCAAGTTTACTTTTCAATCACAAGAGTAAGCTATATATAAGAAGGTGAAAAGGTGAAAACAAGCAAAATTCACAATGAAAACCGTTGAGGATAGTAAAAAATCATCATTCCGCGCCGCTTAAAACCGCATCGGGCGGCTGTAACGCATGCAGCATACTCCCGGCACAGTGCGAAAACTGTGCTGGAATTGTTCCGGAACTTCGGATCAGTATGAGCAGACTTAAATAGCAAAAATCGTCCCGCGCCGCCTGCTGATCTCACGCAAACAGAATTGCAAAACGGAATTTAGGATGATTATAAACGCGACTCACATTTCAGCCACAACCTCACCTTTTTCCTTTTTCGCCCGTCACTCGATCGTGATCTTTTGCATCGATACATGCGGGTAAGCTAGGGTTAGAATGTTGAGAAGAAGAGAAAACCACTATAAAAACATAGTCTTATGATATGCAAAGCCAAAAACTTTGGCAAATTTTGGAACCGAAGACAGCTAGCTCAAAATCCTCAATTTCCGTTCCCTACGCAAAAAAAAAACTGCTGAGAAAGCAGAAAGGAAGTCGCTAACAAGCATGAGGATGTGCATAGTCCCAACATATGGCGAACTCGACGAAAACATATAGATGACATAAAACAGATAATCTCGAGGAGGATTCGATAGTTCCATTGAATTCATATCATATACCATTATGTTTACGTTCGCGCTCAAATGCACTTTCCTTCGCGTGCGGCTTGTCGCGCGGACCTTCTCTGCGGTTCTCATTCGAAACTCCTTATACATTTGTTGCACATCCAACAGCTGAAGTAATCCGAGATAAAAGCGCAATCTTATATATAAAGCTGAATGTCTGTTTGTATGTCTGTATGTATAGGGGCCTGCAGGATCGCAAGAGTCGGACGTGCGTACGGCCATTACGCCGCGCACGTCAGATGCGCATCCGACGACTCAGGTAGGTGCCAGACTTACCCTGTTCAACAGATTCATTCGGTGCACCAACTTTTCTGTCGGACAGTATAGTGATTTGACCTATGAACCGAACAAACCGGTTGAAGCGGATAGATCTAGCACCTGCCTTAGCGACATCAGACGTGCGCGGCGCAGTGGCCGTACGCACGTCCGACTCTCGCGATCCTGCAGGCCCCTATATGTCTGTCTGTCTGTACGTATGTTCCGAATAGAAAATTCCATTTCTTAACCGATCCGAACCAAACTTGGCACACATACACTTCGGGCCCCGGCGGGTGTCATAGGCTACTTTTCGTATCGATCGATATCGATTTTATCGATTCTTTGCAAAATTTGAGCTACGGGGCTGGGAGTTGGCACAGGGGGGTAAGTGAGCATGGGGATTCCGAATACAATATTAGTTTTTAAAATCGTGCATTACTTTTATCGATTTTATCGATTTTTTGCAAAGTTTGAGCTAGGGGGCTGGAATTTGGCAGGGGGGTGATCAGCATGCTCGATTACACCCCCCTGCCAAATTCCAGCCCCCTAGCTCAAACTTTGCAAAAAATCGATAAAATCGATAAAAGTAATGTACGGTTTCGAAAACTAATATTGTATTCGTAATCAGCATGCTCGATTACCCCCCTGTGCCAAATCCCAGCCCCCTAGCTCAAATTTTGCAAAAAATCGATAGAATCGACATCAATCGATAACGAAAAGTGGACTGTGACACCAGCCGGGGCCCGAAGTGTATGTGTGCCAAGTTTGGTTCGGATCGGTTAAGAAATTGAATTTTCCATTCGGAACATACGGCGGAGCCGGGTATGCCAGCTAGTGCAGTGATAAGACAAAAATTCGAGGAAAATTACGCACTTCGCATACAATGAGATGAATCCTTTGATGCTCTAGATCGTACAGCCGATAAATTGTATTCACGATTCACGACACGCAAAGACTGGGTATTGCATCCGGCTAAGATAGTTTGTACATGAGAGAGTCAGTAGATGGTAAAAGAAACGAAAGAGCGCTCGATCAGTAAGACGCCGATAAGTCCGCAGTCTTTGCATGGTACGAGTCGCCTATACTCGCTGTTTCTGACTATGTGTTCTGTGTCATTCGTGGAAGTTCCTGATGCGGGCGCTATTCGCCTATCCGGGCCCCAAAATTTTGCCATGGATTTCGCTCAAACTTAGCAGAAGGGGGTTATCTGACATGCTGGTCACGAATATCACCTTCTCTCCGCAGGAAAACGCCTCCCTGCAGGGTTACAGTAGGTATACGGTAGAGGGTCAAAATCACGGATTTGCCCGAAACTCCGTCTAGAGGGGTTATTTAGCATGCTGAACACGAATATGATGTTTATTTCGTGCGACAGCGCCATCCGGTGGAGTTACGGTAAGACTACGGTAAAGGGTCAAAATCACGGATTTGCCCAAAACTTGGCTCAGGGAGGTTATTCGGCCCGCTGATGCCAAATATCACATTGGTTTTGAACCGTAGCGTCATTTTCTCGGGTTACGGTTGCTACACGGTAATGGGCCTTCCTGAAAACGTACGACGATCGTGAAGCTTTGCACACACGACCACCGCCGCGTGCTACACGCCCTGCTGCGGCTTTTGCCTTAGCAAAGCACAGGGAAAAGATACATTTGCCGATTTGTGATTTTACCGTAAATCTACCGTAGCCATGAAGGGAGACGTTTTCGTGCGGAGTGTGACACTTCTAATCAGCATGTCGAATAACCCCTCTGTGCGAAGTTACAGCGGATTTTGAGACTTTGACCTCCTACATACCCACCGTAACCCGAAAAAATGACGCTACGGTACAAAACCAATGTGATATTCGGCGTAAGCGGGCCGAATAACCCCCCTGGGCCAAGTTTCATCCAAATCTATGATTTTGACCATCCACCGTATACCTACTGTAACCCTTGGAGGCGTTTACCTGCGGAGAAACGGTGAAATTCGTGATCAGCATGTCAGATGACCCCTCTGGGCCAAGTATGAGCGAAATCCATGACAAAAAATTTTGGGGCCCGGATAGGCGAATAGCGCCCCTGATGCGTGTGTCTGAGACCACAGGATAAAGTACGTATTGCCGTGGATAGCCTTCCCCTACGCGGTCATCTGGCACAAATCATGCATCTCAATATCGTCGACTCGTTGACCGCGCGGACTGCTCAAACGGTGCAGACCACGCGCGGCGTGGCTGAAATGTTGCGAGAGCACGATTTGTGCAATGGCGAATTTGTATTGGAGCTTTTAGGCTTCATACATACCTGACGATGGGTGGCTATAGCTGACGATGCGTCGCTGCTAGCAGCAACGCTTTTTATGCGTATCGATTGCAGCCAAGCGACGCTGCTGCTCCTAGCTGCTGCAGCCATCGCGAAACAGACCCGCTATAGCTAGCGATGCTGCGCTGCTTCTAGCTGCTCCCAGCTGCTCGTTGCTGCTCCTCGCTGCTACGCGATATGAAGCTCACTTTTTGTGAGCTTTTCTCAGCTGCTCCATGCTGCTATCAGCTGATTTCGCTCGGATTTGCTTCTATTTACCATTTTTTTGTGTTTCCAAAGAATTTCCAGAGCATTTCTTGCGATAAGTGCGAACTATGACAAAGACTATTAAAAGGACAAATGCATAGGTGAACAAATCAATCTGAACGAGATAAACTCTACAAGACCTCTGGAATCAAAATAGAATATGAATAGAGTACGATGAACAGCTAGAGGCAGATATTTATCAAGGAAGATAGTGGGGTGGCTTATTACAAACAAAATTTTATATTGATAGTAGTGTGCTATATTTCATAATTCATGGATTCCAGCGATGAGATTCATGAATTCATTTCACCGTTAATCTAGATCAGCTGGGAGGGCTGATAATACCTTGCTGCTGCACCTAAAATGCACCCATGCGCAGCAGCTTCAAGCAGCTAGAAGCAGCGGAGACAGCAGCGATTCGCCAATACCCGCTATACCTCCATCGTCAGGTATGTATGAAGCCTTACCTCGCGGCGCGTGCTCCGCAGTCATGTCCAGGCCTTGCGTCAAGAATCGACTGTACATCACTTGTGCACATCAGTGCTCGCGCAGACGGCGCAGGGACGCTTCAACCGAGACTGGGTACCAAAGTTTTCTAGAACCTAGAGAACACTTTTTTTTTTCTTTTGAGCGATAAAATGCCATACGATCGCATAGATGCAGAAGAGCATATCAGTCAAGTGTTGAGCCCAGTTTCCAGATCGGTGCAGGGGTTCCCAATCTGAGTGTCACGGCTCGGGACAACCCGAACCGCACCTCTCCTATGTCTCTCGCCATGTTCGCTCTTAGCGGATACGGTATTTTCCCACGCTTTATACGTGAGAAATACCGTATACAGTCGAGTAGATTTTCCGCTTAATATAGTGTGCTTGCACAGAAGGTGAAATGCGGTAAAATTTGCGCGTGAACAGGTAGCTGCGCCAGCACTGCCGGCACTGACAAGCATGGAAAAATGCCCCGAGACACGTTCGCGAACGCGTAGAGTGGCCCAAGCGAGGAGCTAGGATTACCCGAGCCGTGCGACCGTGACACTCATATTGAAAGCCCCTGTATATCTAAATCAAACTCAGCTAATGTAGAAAAACTGTAAAGTATGAGACTTCTCGCATGATAGCTTTCAAAAGATTCAAAAAAAAAACAAGGAGACAAATTATCAAAACTAATACAAGCAGACAATGAAGGAAATGAAACATTCGCTCTTTGCTGTTTCAGTGAGATTTTACAGAGAATTTTTTGACAATGCGCCGAATACATGCAACAAAATGATGACAATAGCCTTTTGTTGATCATGCAAACGGAATAGGTTTTGAACGGAGCGCAAAGTTCACCAGAAGAAAGCGTTGTCTAACGGATTGAAAAGGCCAAAGAGGGCATGATGCATAACAATACTCTGGTGGTAGTGCAGTGCATCTGTATAGTTTGGGACCAAGGAAATTTTTGCAATGGGTAGTCTTGAAACCATAAATCCCAATATCATTGGTATTCCATGACCTCAAACAAATTTACCTCCGAGTTCCCAGTCAATGTTCTGTCAAATTCTGCAGAACCGCTGCTTGATGAAGAGCTACTGGTATCAATGGTGCTTGATGACATGTTACTACACACAGATTCACTACTACGAGATCCACGGCTCTCAGGTTGAAGAAACCTAAAAGTGCCAAAATAAGTATTCAAGCAAACAACAAAGAACCTAACCTAAATTTCTTAGACGCGGGCTCCTCCATGTTGATATTTTCTTTTTCGTCAAAAGTTGTCATTGAAACCACTAGCAGCTATAATCAAATTATAATCGCTAACAAAACTGGGAATAAGACTGAAAAACTGTAGCCCTCACAGAATCAAATCACACTAAAATCGTAAATGAAAAGGTACATTCTCCACTTTCAATGGAAAGATAAACAAAAATAAGGACATCGATGTAATGACATACGCGAGTGGCCGAAAAAGCATGAAGAGAGTTTAAAAAGCCGATATGACTCCGAAAATGGGAGATTCGTGACCCAAAGCCTGGACATACGTCTCAGAAATTTCAAAAGAGAATCTTGGCGCGCAATCATTTCAGCTGGAGCGTGATGCTGGTTGGGGGCGCGATAACTCTTTCACCCCACTCCTTTGGGAATTCCTCGTATTTTCCTTTGTAATACTCTCTTCGTTGTGTTTTTATGTTGTTTGGCGAATTTTAATCTTTTTAAATGTCAAAAAGATATACAGCATTGCCGAGACATAATCGGAACGCTCGAGGAGCTGAAGCAAGGTGAGACTTTTTAAATGAAAAATTTGTAGAAAGGCAAAAATGCCTTCCACACAGTAATCATGTTGCGTTTGCCTCCTACCTGTATAATCTAAGTACTGGGTGCAGCCACAGAATTTCTATCCGATATCTGAAAGTAAGGTGGGTCCACGGAATTCGTATGCTGTGCTTAACAGGAAAGCAACATTTGGAGCGCAGGAACAATGAAGAGTTCTTCAAGACTGGAAGGAGCTTTCAAAATGAGAGGAGCTGGATTGAAAGATGTGTAAATGGCCACCGATTTAAAAGGCAAAGGTGTTGGCGTAGAAGTCTCAGACCACTAAACAAACTGTGCGTTAAAAAATGATCAAATACTTATGATAGTTTTATCAACATATTTAGCCTTTGCAGAGTTACTTGCTATTTTTGCATTTACATGCGTCGAGATGCTCCAACCACGCCGATGTGTCGCTTGTCAGCGCACCTCAGATTCGCCTGGATTGCATCATTCCCTCAATGGACCTCAGTGGAGTGGACCTCTTCAACATCAGACTGATCTCGAGATCACTGGCATTTCTGCAAGGTGTTTTGCCGTTTGGAAGCTATAGAATACTTTAGAATACTTGTCATGATTTGCACCAGATATGCAAGGTATTCGATCAAGAATCGAGAGTGCATGCTCACTAAATTGGTGGTTACTACTTCTCTGCTACTGATATCTCCAATTTGGTGCAATTTTATGCAGCTTCAATAAACTTCTGAAATGCGAAAAACTGTTTTAGCATCATATTTTAGTGACAAAGACAGTGTTTCGACGGTGAAGAACTCGATTTTTAGAAATAGCTGGGGTTATCCGCAACGCTGAGTCCGAAAATCCACATTAGAAAGCGCGAAAATGGCGAGAATATGCATTTCCGTCCCTGCCAAGGCTGAGACGCAGAGTCGTTACAGTAACCAACAACTTCATCTGTGGCGGCATGCGTACTCTGCCGCAGAGCAGGGATTCAAATAGGTAACTCCCCGTCCCAGGGCGTTGGTTTTCCAGCTTTCATACCATAATTTTTGCTAGTGGTCAGATGTGATGGCCTCGCACTTGCGCTGATGTGAGAGGAAGCCCGCGACTCTGAAATCGCAAAAGCCCCACCTTGTCCGGACCTGCCTTTAACACCCCCTTCCGGCGCACAGAAATCATGTCTGAAAGAAATTTAAAGCTCGTGCACTGCGAGGTAGTCAATCCAGATCCTGTCTTCTCTAAACTGCTAAGTTGTGAGCAAAGCCACAGGCTTATGCGGCCGCTTTGCCCGCACGCAACTCTCAAATTTCGGGCCCCAAAAAATCTCCGGTGTTCAAGCGGCACGACAGACTGATGGGGGGGGGGGGGTCAGAGTAAATACATGACTTGATGCTATAAAGTTGCGACAGGAGGTGGCGGGAGCTGGCTCTGTGATGTTTGAAGTAGCGTTGCGGCACCCTTCGCGAAAAAATTGCGCAAATCGTGACTTCCGACCCATAAGTTATAATTATTGCTCGAGAGTCACTGAAGGACTTATTTTGTGGGTTGTTACCGCCGCGCTGACCGCACTAACTGCACTGGTCGCCTGACCGCAATGATTGTAGCAGCCGTGCCTCAGAAGTGCAGCAACGATTTTATTGAACTGCTGTTGCGCAATCACTTTTACTCTAGAACTTATCAATGCTTGTGCATGAGGTACTCATGTTTATGAAAACCATGTTGAAGCTGGAGCAACGCGTATGCGGTTTTGACTCAAGATTCCAAAATAAATGATGCATAGCTTGTTGCTTCAAAGGCACCGTGCATCCAAAATGAGGTCTACAGTCTGTCCCAATCCCAACCAGGCCAAAATTGGCATGGCGGGAGTCCGCGTTGCTAGGGTTTCGCGGTCACTCCCCCAGCCTGCTTCTCTGCCTTCTCTTCGATCCCGCTGCTCTCTCCGACAGCGCGCATACGCAGCGCAGACTGCTAGCGCTACGAGCGCGCAAATTTACGCTGACGATTCGGCCTGATCCCGGTTGGAGCAGACTGTAGAAGATCCGATGTTTAACAGTTGCGGGGCCCTCAACTGTATAACTGCTCAACTCGAGCTTTCTGAAGTTGCTTTTGAAGCGAGAAAATCGCCTCGAAATTCCTTTGGAATACGGGTTTGCCACGTTGGCCCCTCCTTAGCAAGTGGGCGGTACGTTCGTCCCGCCCACGCAGTGATTTCGCCTAGCAGCCGTGAAGCTCAAGAAAGCGATCGAATCGTGCGAGAGTGCTCTCCATCCTGCTGTGGCCCGCAGCTGGCCCGAGGCTGATCGGGAGGCGCAAAGAGTGCTCGAATACTGCGAATTCCGAAGGGTATCTGAAACTCAATAATTTGAGACTCTGTTCAATTTTAGACCTGGATTCGGACCCCGCGGGTGCGAGAGGTGCCAAAAAGGACAAGAACTCAAAATCGAGAATTTGGGTATACGGTGCCTTTAAGTCATGAGAGTAAATGTAAGAAGATATGAAGGTGTAGCGTGCTGATTGACGCATGCATCTATGAGAAGTTAGTACATTGCAAAGTTACAAAGCAAAAAAGTTTTCAAAACCTACTGCAAGTTCTATGGAGACGCAAGAACTTTAACAGATGAGAGACCTAGTAGGTGACACCGTTAACACAATCAGGAGAATCACAATGTTTCCAACACATGTAATAGAGCCAGTGCAAAAAAAATTATGCTCACTATTACACTGAATATGTTAGCGATTTTGAATGGATGCTGCCCATAGAGATAAAGAAAAGCAAATTTGCAGAAGCAATCTTGAAAACGCCTTCGCATTTTAATGCAGCGGTTGCTGCGGCTGCTGCAGTCATTGCGGTCACTGCTGCAGATGATGCAACCTATAGTCCGCGCCTTCCACTGGGATTCTTCATATCGCTAGTGCTACTGCCGCCTTTGTCGCCTTTGCAGCCGCATGGGGGCCTGAAATTTTCCCATGTCAGATCGTGTTCATATAAGCCCGCATGCGAAGACAATGGCGGTAAAGGCTTCGCGCGGCAGTACATAGTGAAGACGGACCTAGTGAACGGTAAAAAAACGCCGTGACCACTTCGGTGTGGCGCAAAATCTGGCATCCAGTTTTGTGGGCTGTCGAGCATACAAGGCAGACAACTAAAAATGCTCGTTGTCGTCAACAACTCAGATAATCGCGGGGGGTAGGCGGTCCGCAAACTCGCGTTTTCTTGCAAGCGGTCAGCAGAATTTTGGGGCGTGGCCAAACCTCCAGCAGGCGGTACCTCCTTTCTGTCGAATGTCCTGCTAGCGGGGCAGAACACAGAGTTTTTTGCGGGCGCTCGTCAAATAATCTCTTTCAGCAGGCGTTCGAGCCCTTTTTGAGCAGTTTCGGGGGACGTCGAGCAGATGTGAGACTCTGTGCGGCAGAAGTGTCATCGATGGTTCAGTTACTTAAGTTTGAGGTACTTCCTCTTAGCGGAAAGTATCTGAGGGCTATGCGGTCCTCCACAAAGGAGCGCGCGGCCCTCAATAATTCTGCATATTCTCACGGAAAGTCCGCGCAAATGCGGCCAATGCGCCGCAACTAATCTATAAAAAAACCGCGATTGTTCTCCAAGCATTCGTTCAAATTTGGTCAACATTCTTCCAAATTTCTGCAAGCGGGCCGCAAGAAAAGCGAACTATTGTTTCAGTGCTCGCTTGCTCAAAATTCGCATGACCGCCTGCCCCCTGCGATTATCTGAGAAGTTAAGGCAAGGGCTCGACAAACCAAACATCTCGAGATTTTGATATGGCAGGTTGCTTGCGTTCGAAATATCAGAACAGAGCGGGTTCGAGCGCAGTACACGCTGCCCCTGTCTAGAAAATTGGGTACTATTCCACATTAGTTGACCCAAAAATTGAAAATCGTGAATTTCGCTAAAACTTTGTCTGGGGGGTTTATTTGGTATGCTGAGCACGAATGTGATGTTTATCTCGTGTTACAGCACTATCCGATGAAGTTACGGTAGGATTACTGTAGGGGCTTAAAATCACGGATTTGCCCGAAACTTGGCCCAGAGGGGTTATTTGGCCCGCTGATGCCAAATATCACATTCTCACACAATCAAAGGATCTCAGCCGGCAGCCATAAAGCCACCGCTAAAACCCAAAGCGCCGTGCCCTTATCACTGCCACTTTCGCTTCCCGCTGGAAACTTTATAGCACTGCCAGCTTAAAGGCAGTGTCCGGGCAAAAACTCGATTTTGAGATTATGTGCTTACCCGGGCCTATTCGCTACGCTGAATCCGAAAATCCACACTGGAAAGCGCAAAACGGCGAAAAAGGGCTCTAACGCAGGAGGGAAATCAAAAGTGGGCGGGGTCTTCCCCAGGGTAAATTCACGGTTCCAGCTCCCGGAGCGATCTTTTCGCTTCCGACTTCAGATCATGCATTCGCACTTGGTCCCTTGAGATGTCAGGGCGGTTATTGGAATTGAAAAGATCGCTCCGAAAGCTGGGACCGTGGATTCACCTTGGGGAAGACTCCGCCCAATTCTGATTTCACTCCTGCGTTAGGGCCCTTTTTCGCCGTTTTCGCGCTTTCCAATGTGGATATTCGGATTCAGCATAGGGAATAGGCCCGGATCAGGGCCCGGCACGAGTCGGTTT